AAAAAATTGCTACCAAAAACTGTCTGCAGGGGTCTCTATTTGCTCAATAACCCTAAAGCTTCCGCTCTGAGGCTCTTGTTAAGATTTTTCACAAAAGCAGATAAACACGCTATAAGGAAACATTAGCCTGGTATTACTTAAAAACCCTGTAAACATACATTTGCTTTGACTTAAAAAAAACAAAACAATGTAGGTTAGTCAATTAAGGTTGACTTAGAACAACTGCACTATATTATGGAGCAAGCGCTCTGTAGTCCTATAATGTCATCATTCTGCATTATGTAAAATCACACATGGCAAGCAATAGGAGAACTATCATCCTCAAATGTCCATGAAAAAGCATCCAGTTTTTAAAAAACTGCACTCTGTTATATTAAAGGAAAACTTGAAGAAACTGAAGAAAATACTTTTTCTTAAAATGATAAAAAGCCTTTAGTTCTTTTTAGAATAGTAGTAATAGTATAGAAACATTATTAAGGTAATTTTGAACTTGCATTTAGAAGCTCAGAGTGATATTTGGCTTCATGCATCCAAAACAAGTCAGTCAAATCCCCTCACATTTGGGCAGAAATGTCAAGCTCTTCAACAGAATATTTCATATGGCCTTCATTGAACCCTTTTGTCTGGAAAACAGAATACTTTCTCAGATCTCAAAAAAATCTGCAGAGGAAATTCCACACATTTTCTCTTATTATTATGCTTAAAGTTTATTTAGAATGACATATATACTACATCGACTATGTTATGTAAACATTTTCATCCTTGTCCATTTTAACTAAAAAAAAAAAATCAAAACAAAGTATTATACATATATGGAAATGTATGTAGAAATATGTACATATGCTAACCAACCACTTCATTACAGCTTGCCAGTACTGGAATTGGACCCTTTTTTCATGGCCTATTATATTTATTAAGGTGTAAAAAGTGCATATTGGTCCATATTTGGTTGAAAAATCATGGATTTTGTTCCATACTGGCACAATAGCATCACACAGAGTCTGCATATTTGTCAGCTGGACATCCATGATGTTAATCTACTGTTCAACCACATCCCAAAATTCCTCTATTAGATTTAGATCTTGTGATTATGGACTCCATTTGAGTACAGTAAACTCAATGTCATCTTCAAGAAACCAGTTTGAGACTATCTAACCGTTGCAAACATCGTCATGCTGGAAGCAGCCACCAGAGAATATATGTAGGTACACTGTAGGGCTGCCACAAACCATTATTTTGATAGTCGATTAGTCACCGATTATTTTTGCAATTAGTCGACTAATCAGATCATGCATCCATTGGAAGTAAAACGTAATGCTTATTGCACCAGCATGCATCTGCTCTTATATAACTACCATTAGCTTACAGCTTTAAGTGTTTAAGGTATGTGCTAACTAAAAATGAAGACAAGATGATAGTTTATTAAATTTTAATGAAATCTGCAGACTGTTTCGGTGGAGTTTAATAAACTCAGCCGTCTGCTCCTTGCTATCTAAAATATAACAGGACACCGGAGTATATTCTTGAGCATCTCACACTTCTGATAATCAGTTGTCTGCTTGACG